AAATCAACGTGTTTGTTTAGCTTCAAAATTCGACTTTATGCAATTGCATCTATTTTTGCGTTCTGACAACAAATAGGGAGAATGGCTATTGGAGTTGCACGTTGACATTAAAAACAACCTCAAAAGGTCACTTGGCGTTATGTAATTCCATGTGTTTTTTTAAGTAAGCACGAACTGAGCGAAGCCAATCACTGGAAAGCGTTTCAGTCAACATAGATCTGCTCCTTGGCAAACAACGCCGTATTGTTTTTCAGCATTGGTCAGATCATCGTTCCTCCCCTCAAAAAAGCCAAACTGCGGAGTGTGTGAATGTTCAAGCTGGGCACCTCCTAGATCGAACAAAAGGGGCGGTGAAACAAAAAACAACCAAAACGATCGCAAGGATTCTGGAAAAAACTTGAAGGTGTCTTTAGGCTGGACCCAAGATCCAAGATTGCACAGAGAAGTTTCTTGGGAATCTTGATTTCAGGCCGCCCCACAAAATAAATGTGTTTCGAAAAAGCCGCACATTTATGTGAAATGTTGCGCACAATGTTATGAAGTTGCCCAATATATGGCAACAAAGCCACTGGCACAAAAAGACAGCAAGCAAGAAACACACACACACACACAGTAACAATCCTTCTCCCACCATGGCTGGAAAGTGTTGTGTGTGTGTTGTGTGTTTGTTTGTTCGGTCTTTTGTTTGTTTGTTTGTTTGTTTGTTTGTTTGTTTGTTTGTTTCTTGCCCAGATTGCCACATGTTGGCCAACATGTTGACCAGAAAGTTGTGTTTTTGTTTGTGAGTTGTTTTTGCACATGTTGCAAACCTCCTCAAAGAACTGACATCAAGGCCAGACATGCTACTTGTGGATGGCTTTTAGTGGGGTGTAGGGCCATGTAGGGCCAAATGTCAGAAATGCTATGTCGTGTAGTTTGCTTTGCTCACCGAGGTGGCAACATGCAGCTAAAACCCAAGAATGGGTAGGCTTTTGGCGGGGATACCATATTTATATACAATATATTAATATAGATACATATATACACACATGTGTATATATATATATATATATTCTGCATTAACAATTGTACTTTGTTGTTGATTTGTTTATTTAGATATTCACCCCCCTTCCCTTTGATCACTTCCCTCAGCTTCCCTTTGGTTCGGATTGGTTTGGTTAAGGAGGTGTTTCTCATTCCGCAAAAGCCAGGGGTTGAATTCCCCAGTTCCCAGCAATCCAAACCTGAATCCCCTTTCCCCCCAACTCCCGCAATGGGCAACCAGATTTGAGCCCTTTGTGGCCTATGGGGCTTATTCAGGGCAACCAGATCTGAGCCCTTTGAGCCCTGTGTGGGGCCTATGGCCCGAACGAATTGCTGCGCACTGAGGGTGGATTCTGAAAAAGCTGGGCGACGGGCCCATCCCCTGGGACCTCGAGGCGAGTTTGAGAAATCTCTTCGACTCGACTCGTGCTCTCGTGCTTGTGGCGTGAAAGGCGGGTGGCGCAGTTGGAAGCGTGGAAGCAGCCTTCTGATGGTCTCCTGTTGGTTTCCTTTGGGCAACGATAAATATGATCAATCCAGGTGTAACTTTTAGCTATGGGCCCTTTGGTGGACATCATTTACGCGGGGAGTTGGGTGTCTGTCTTCGGAGGGCACCCTGGATTCAAAGGGAAACCTCAACAAAAAGAGACGGGCGCACTTACCCTCCCACGAATTAACACTGAACCTGACGTTCGGGACCCGGTCCCTTGAAAAGAAACATGGTCCAAACTACGATCCACTGAACGTGAGGTTCCATGTTAATTGGTGGGAGGGTAAATGGGCCAGTCTCTTTTTTTGAGGGAACCTCACCACAAAATAATTGTGGTTTGCGTTGGTTTTCTTTAAACAACAGTACCATCAAAAGAAAGACACCCAACTCCCCATGCAAACAACGCCCACCAAACGGTCCACAGCCATGTTTAGCGTTCCCAAAAGGAAACCAAAGTGGGCCATGTTTCCCATTTCTCCCCAGAGCCTGTACGTATTTGAAGCCCAGTCCGGCGATTGCGTCTCGCGGGGCAGAGCATTTTATGTCCAAAAAAGGCTCATGGAAACTGCATGAAGGGGTGTCGGTTCCCACGGTAGGCGAAATTCCAGCCCATATTCTTCTGTATATACCCAGACTGTTACGCTGGTGTGTGGTAGGTACCGAAGGAAACTTCAAATCCAAAATGGAAATGGTTGGTTGGTCTCAAAGTTGGCGCAGACTGCGCCAGTGGCAACCCAAGTCTTCCGCTCAACGCAGGCTGCAAGGGAATATGTGATTAATTTGCGTTTGTTCTATTAGTTGTCTCTTTTTTGGGTGTAAGCATTTCTTGGGGGCATTTGTTGCGTTTCGCGTGGGTGCGGATGTTTTGAAGCGCAGTCTCTTCTTCCCCTATCCTCTTTGCTGCTTGAACATCCCATGCTTGGCCGAGCTCGATCATGTTTCTCTTTGATAGGCTGATGCTTGAACGGGACAGAAGCACAGAATCCGGTAAAATGCGTGCGTGTGTGTGTGTGTGTGTCTCTGCGTATGTGTGGGTGTGCGTGTGAAGATTGAAGGACAATTAGTTCATTCCCCTACAAAGGTTTCCAGCCTTTCCTAGCCGAGTCGATGGCAGTTCGGAGGTCGAAAATGGTGAGGGATGGACACAAGTCTGTGGTTTGAGCATCCCCACCCTCGAAGTAGTCCAATGGACAGGGGATAACCAGTTGTAAGTCGGGGAAAGGTTCCCTTGTTCTACCAGGGTCACTGGTTGAAACTGGGCGCTTGTTGCTCAGCGCCTCTCTTCCTTCTTTCCGGTTTCCTGGCCTCATTATTTTACCATGGTCAAAGTCACCCCCGGAGTGGCGGATCTCCATTTTGCAACCATTTGAAACATGTTGTTTTTTCCACCCAAATAAAGGGACACCACCATTTACAAGTTGCAATGAGAATGACCCCTGGCCCTTGGGCAGGGCCTGCGGCAGCGCGCCGCGGCCTTCGTCGGGGCGGAGTGCCCGGGCGCTTCGAAGGCCAACTTCTTGCTGGTGGACAGGCGGGGGAAGCCATTCGTTTCGTCTTTTTGGGGGGGTGTCATTGGCAGGGCTCCTTAAGAGATTTTGCAACCATTTGAATCATGTTAGAGTAAAGGGAAACCACCATTTACAAGTTGCAATGTTCAGGTGCATAATGTAAGAATCCCTGATTGGGTTCGGGTGGGAATCATCACTTCTGGTGGTTTGGATTGGTTTGGGGGGGGGGGAAACATTCATTTCGTGGGAGGAAAGCAGACTGATCAGGTTGCCTGATCCACACTCGTCCAAGTTGTGCCCATCAAGTCATTAACGCCCGTCCCCCGTTTTTTTTGTTTTTGTTTTTGTTGTTTGCAACCACCAATCCAAATCACCAAATAGAGTGAAGCTGAACTGATGGACAAAATCCATTTCGCACCTGTCAGAGACCCTGCAATAATTCAATTCCCTTGCAAATACCAACAAACTATGGCTTCAACCATGGTTTCAACTTGGTGTAGGATTTGGTGTATCCTGGTTTATTCATCCCTGGCCAATCCTAGGGGATGCCTTGCCACCCGAGTAATGGCTTAAGGTGGAGGGGTGATATTTTTTGTCAGGCGGCAGCAGGTAGCAAAGATTTTCGACAAGAGCATGGAGCGCATGCTGGTGGTCTACCTGCGGTCTTTGGGCAGTGCCATGGAAGATGCGACTCGACCACAAGGGCCCCGTTCAAAGCTTGTTGGGACATGGGCGGCTGGTTTCAAGGAAACCAACCCATTTGTTTTAAATGTTTTTTTTTGAGGGGGGGCGGACCTGAAATAGTGGGCAGCTGGACTCAAACTATCTAAACAACGGCTCCTTGTTCAACAAACATATGGGTATTTACATCTGTTCTGGGGCAGTTCGAGTGGGGGGCTACCCCCTTTTTGGGCCGGGCGTTCAAAAGGACAGACTCGAGAAGGCAAGAAGTTCAGGACAACTTCTCAGCCTCTAAGCCTTCAACGCCTGGGTTCTGGCCCATTTTGGGGTAGGGCAAGCCGCAAAATGGGTGGTTTCCTGCTGGCTTCGCTTGAAGACCACATGGGGGGTCTCCAAAAAATACCCATTCAAGCGAGTTTGGGTCCCAAATGCAGCGACACCGAAACGCAACTCGGCTCCGATTCTTGATTTGCCAAACGCTTTGCCTTTCGGGTCGGCGCAATTGTTCGCACTGTCAGCTCCCTTACTTACATGGCGCCCGGACTGTACCCCTCTAGCTATGTTGTAAGTGTTTTTGCTACAATCAATCACGGTAAATACTGACCGTTGCGCAAAAATATTGCAAGGACATTTCACGAAATAGAGGACTCCCAAGAAAGGGTGGCTTCCTTTTGTCTGCCCTGTCAACCAACCAAAATTGTTGAAAGGGGGTCGCCCTCTGCACATGCAGGAGCTCCCGTTTGTTTGCCAGGACTCTTTGTGACCCCTCCTTTATCAAATTACATTGAACAATCTATTTAAGGAACCCGTTTTGGTCCCAAAATGGCACCCTTTCATTCTCCCTTTTTTTGGGAGAATACCTATTTTTGGCTGGAAAAGGGAAACCATCAGGAAGCCTTCCATTTTTTGGGGGGAGAATACCGTTTGATGAATAAAAGGTGGGATCCACTGGTTAGATGGGGTTTATGAGCTCCATTTGCCAGAGAGTCTGTTCAAAAGGTCACCTATGTTTGTGGGTCTCTGTTTTTTGGTCTCAAGGCTAAGTAACATAGACAAAGCCGGTTTCGCGATCTGTACACGGGAAACCGGACTTCGGTTTAACTGAGGCCCTCATCGTGGCTGACCCCCGGCCTGGACCGGAGATTCTCAAGGCGAGAGCAAGCTGACTGGATCCAAATGGCCGTGTTCTCTTGAGGATAGCCTCCTTCTTGGTTGGCTTTAGGGGCAACTCACTTCTTGAGTTCGTGAACTTACTTTGTGGAAAGGCCATTTCAGTGGCAAAGGAGAACATTCGGACTTTTTGTTGGCCAATCCTCTCGTCGTGAGGAAACCAAAAAGAAACATCTCTTATTTTGGAAACCCCTCAAAAAAAGAACGACAACGCCAAGTCCCCAAGCTTCAGGGTAGACCGACTTCATATTTCGGGGCTTCAAGTGTTTCTCTTTTTGGTGGATGTGCCAAGGGTCCCAAGAGTTTAACCTTTGATTTCCGGGTCCTTTTGCAGGTGAGGCCTGTGGGTTGCTTGGGGATAGGGTGTCTTGGGGTTGCTGAGCCCCTGAGTTGCATCAGGGCGGGCTTGACGGCTACATGCCGGCTATGTTGATCATGTTTGCCAGCTTGTGTTCAGAAGAACTAGCAGAACATGTGATTTGGGGGATGTATTGTTTAGGGAATCCGGCAGCCTTAACCACACCCTCAATGGTGCAAAAGCAACCCAAGCTGTGGGAATAGGGTTGGGATTGTTTCATCATGCTGCTTCTGTCATACTGTGGATGGACGAAATCCTGAACCACTTTGAAACCATGGGACACCATTTGTCTTTGGTATTTACAGGGGAATCATCCTTCCAGGGTTTCTTAGGTGGTGCAGGGCTTTGTCCATCCACAATAGGAAGCCACATAAGCCTCTGTCGTAGGTGTGTGCGTGTGTGTTCGGAGGGTACCCTTTGAAGGTTAGCTTAAAGGGAAGTCAACATCAAACCGGTTTTGTTTCGCGGGGGGCGGGGGGGGCGGGGGCTAGTTTGACACATTCTATCAGATGCTTGACTTCGTTTGGGGGCTTAACTTTTCCCCGGCACTGCAAGGACATGGTAGCGGCTGGTAACTATGGTCTATCTCCAGGCACTTAACAGATAAAACGACTTTGCTGGTGCTCAGTAAGGAATGTGGGAATTCAGGTCCGCTCAAAGGAAGCCATCCAACTTGGTTTAAATCCAGGTCACTCCCTCAGTCCCTGCCTAAGGCACCAGCAGGACAACTGGGGACCAGCCTATTCATGAGAAGAAAAACAGTTGGGGAGGCCGGATCCGCTTCTTTGGGAAGTGCGTTGCAAGCCCACCGCCACAGGGGGCAAGTGAGTTGCCAAGGTAAAGCACAACTCGTGACTGGCGTTGTGGGGAAACTGCGGCATGAATGGATTTAATAAGTCATGTCTTGGTCTTGATTGGGGTTTTGCTTGGTCATTCGCACTGGACCGTTCAGCATTGTATGTTTCACTGGCACCAATATACGGTGTAAAATGTGACGTGCTTACGATTCCTGTCAGGCCTTCCAGGACACCCACGCCTTCCGGGACCCCCCCACCTTCTACTGCGTGTGCACCTCCAAGCTGAAGAAGGGGGGCGCCCCGGCAGAAGCGTTCAGAAGGATCTGTCTTTCCGGAAACCTATCAGCCCCCCTCCCCATAAATGGAGAAAAACAAGGAATCCCAGTACTTGCGGTAACCAGGGTTCCTTGTCTCTAGAGTTTACTCATTCTGAGTCTAGCCGTACCTATCTCTACGACCGCAAACAAAAACACGGGAGTGATCCTAACCCGAGATCAAGGGGCCATGACCCATCCGGGAAACCGAAGGCCCCAAGAAAGCTTGGGAGCACCTTCTGATCGAAAGGGGTTAGAAGAGTTCCGAGCCTTTTCTTGGGTGGGTTGAGGGTGTAGGGGGACCCAAATGTCTCTCCTTCTATCTGCACTAAGCGGGGCTGCCAGCTTGCAGTGTTTTTTCTTCAGCGTGGTCCGCAAGTTTCCCCTTGGGCCATGTTCCTTCCCAGTTGGACTTCAAACTGTGTTCGGAGAAATCATTTCAGCTGACAAAGACAGTTTGAACTTTGACCAAGCAGGATTTCGACCATTTGGGGATGTTGAACACCAAGGCAGTACTGGGAATACTTGCTGATATCCCCATGACTTTCCCATGTCCATGATATGTTTCCCGTGTCCTAGGTCCCAAGTACAGCGTTCACCAGGGCGATCACTGCAGCGGCGGAGGACACACTGTTTGCAACTTTGAGCGGGCATGTCTCGTATCTACCGTGAATGATTTATGTAGTCATGTACGTTGTTTAGTTTTGTTTGTGTTGCTTGTTTTTGTTGCCTTCTTGTTTGGATGGTTGGTTTGGCTTGTGCGGCAGTTTATTTGTGTGTTTGTTTGACTTTGTTTGCTCGTTTTGTTTGTTGTGTCCTCGTTTGTTGGCTCGGTCGCTCGCTCGCTTGCTTGGTTGTCGTGTTTGCCTTGTTTGGCTGCTGGTGAGTTTGTGGGTTTGCTTGTTTGCTGCCTGTGTGCTTGTGTGCTTGTTTTTTGTCTGTGTGCCTGGCTGCCCCTGTATGTCTGCTTGCCTGCTTGTTCGATTGTTTGTGTGCTTGCTTGCTTGCTTGCTTGCTTGCTTGCTTGCTTGCTTGCTTGCTTGCTTGCTTGCTTGCTTGCTTGCTTGCTGGCTGCTTGGCTTGGCTTGGCTTGGCTTGCTTCCCTGCAAACAAGCGCAGATCGACCGCTCACTCGACAAATCCACCAGGATGGGACGCGGTTCCTGGGGGCCTCTGGCGCGGCTATGCAAATCCGAAGCCCGGCACTAAGGCTGGGCAGAGGTTTCAGAGTCACCAAGCTTCACCAAATTCCAAGAAGCTCATGCTGTCCCCTGCTTCCCAGGGAACCTCAGAAACCCCCCTTTGGTTGGTAGGCGTGCTTTTTGCCGTCGTCGTGTACGCTTCCCCTCCTGAACATTTCGAGTTTCGAATTTCAAAATGTAGCCTGGAAACTGCGCAATCTTCTTGCATAGAAGGGATCGGGCCTCTTGCGGCGTGCAAGTATTTGCTTGGGTTTTCCGGTGCTAAGTGGTTGCGACAACGGCTCTCTGTAGTATAGCTCTCTTTTCGGGAGGACGGAATATGGGTCAATCCTCCATTTGGAACAGCTCACGACAAATCTGCCCCAAAATGTTCTCTAAGTTCGGGCAAAATCTATGCCCCCCCCCCCAACCCCACCCCCCCCCCCCAATTCCCCCGGGCCCCTCCCCGCCGGCCAACCCCCCCCTCCCCCCCTCCCTCCCCCCCCGACCCGGCCATCGGAATCAGCGCACCGAGTGCTGCCGCCAGGCGGTGACTTGGTGCGACAACGAGAAGCACTGGACGCAGGTCCTGGTGAAAGGCGCGGGGTTGACACGCGGCGGAGAAAGCATGTGGCCCCAAGTCGTACCCCCAGTGAACATCCGATTCAATCCCCACTCAGATAGGTTCTAAAATGGGTGGTGAATTCACCTACCAAAAAATGGGATCCCATTGGGTTTTGACCCACAGCCATGTTGCTTCCATTTGCTTCACCCTAGGGTTCAACCCCCATTAGAAGAATGATTGACCCAAATTGGATGATTGCAATTGACCCAATTTGGATGATGGCAATTGACCCAATTTGGATGATGGCAATCTTGTGTGGAATTCATGCTGGTTACATGAACCCTCATTGTTTGCAAGGTGGTTTGAACCCAGGGTGAATGTGAACGTGTATGTCCCTGAATGGCTTTAAAGGAAGCGATCACAACTGGACATATATTTGAAGTATTTTCTTCCCAAGGGACTAAGGCAAGTGGAGGTTTACTATACCTCTCGTGTTACCCTTGAAGCTGGCAATGGAAGGCAGTCATCCAGTCAACGCCAGAGTTTTCCATAAAACGTTTGTCATTTCTCTCCCCAAGACCCGAGGCCCGAGTTTTCAGTGGCTTCATAGGACACAGGCAGGCCATTTGTCGGGGTTCCAGCCGAACACCTTTGAGTTTGGCAAACTCGGAATTTGTCGCTATGTGTTTCATCTGCTTTCTGGAAAAAATGCAGGATGGATTTCCTGCGCTGGGTCAACATGCGGTGATGCACTGTGATGCACTACACTTCCCTTTTAGTCAAATTATGCTCACAGAACATGTGGAAATCCGAGGTTCAACGATGGCCCAGGAAAGTCCGGGTTTCGGTGTTCAAAATCTCGGCTGTCCAAATCAGGTTTCTTGGGCCTTCGTTGGTTTGTTTTGGGTGGTTTCCAGAGCCCCCTTAGGTGCTCAAGGAACGTATAGTAGGTGATCTTCATGATACGGGGACTGAGCACCCTAGAACCTGCTAAAATCAGCATCCAAGTTGTTAACGCTCGCAGGCACCAGCTGCCCCGAGACCTGGTCGGGCCTCAAGTGGATTGTGGGGGGAACCTTCTACGTGAAGGACGGCCACGATGTGAGTAGCTCGCTTTTTAGGCATCCAGTTTTGCGGGGTGTTTCGGGGAAACAAATGGAACCCCACTGTATTAATATTTTGGGGGGGCCCTATCTTGATGACAATGACTGTTGAGCACTGTCGACTTGACATGGTTTCCTGGTATACGGTAGCACTGACACCGTATCCGTTTGGGTTCGGCGCATTCGGACATCCAAGGGCTCCACTTCTGGCTAGGAACGTTGGATTCGTCGTGGAATTGGCGCGTCACAACATTAGCAAGGATACGCAAAAGGTATGCAACCGCGTATGAAGTTTACAGTAGCTTAGAGTCATGTGGGAGTGACATGGCAAGCCCACAAATATTAGGGGACAAGCTTGTTTCCCCCGTCGAGGAAAAAGCAGCTTCGCTGTCGTTTTTTGATTCGACGATTTTGGGACTTGTCGCTTTAAAGGAAACCAATGGGAATCCAACCGCTCAGGTGTTAGGTTGCGAGGTTTGAGTGGGGGGTTCCATTTAACTTGGTGTTTAGCTTTTAAGGTTTTAGTGGGGAATTCCATTCACTTTTAGAAGGGGATCCGAGGGCAGCCCAGTTAACAGCGCCTACTTTGAGGCACACCCTGTTTCTCGCTACTCGGTGAAAGATCCCTTGGACACCTTCTTCGTGTCAAGTGAGTCTCAAGCGCGCCGCAATGCTGTACATTCCGAGTTCAATCAAAGGCGACCCTCTTCCCACATCTGACATCTGCAACAGGAGGAGCCATGACTTAGTGACATACTCCTCAGGCCATGCGCAGCGCGTCAACCATATCCAACAGTGTAGTGTAGATGAAAGAAAGAAGACCTCTCTTTTGCCACGAAGCTGAGTCTGACTCACACAGGTGGGCAAAGAGAGTATGTGTTGCTTCTGGCCGAGTCCGGTTTTTGAACAGAACATAGGCACCCCCCTAGACAGGTCTTCATGGGAGCCCTTTGTCCCAACTTGGTAGGGGGGCCCACTGCCAAAAGGTGACCTTTTCTCTTTGTGAGCATTCCCTGCGGTTCTAGGCAGAAGCGTACTCTCCAACGCAAACAGATCGGCCACACCCCGTATACAGTGCGAGCGCTGTTTAAGAAGTCGGTTGGTCGAGGCCCAGGGGGGCTGAATTTGAATCTCTTAGCATCCATTTCGTCTTCAAAAGGGCTAGCTTTTACCCCTCTGGAGCGGCGGGGGGCTTTTTGGTCGTAGCCATTTTTGCACTTCTGCTGAGAAAGTCTGGGGCTCAATTGTCAATGTCGATGAAGGTCTCCTTGGCCCTGAATTTATCGGCCTGTTCGAGTGATGATGGACTCCTTTGCCAAGAAGTTCAGGGGCTACGAAATTTCCTAGTGGCCTTTTAGGGTGAAGGACTCGTTGGCTGAGAAATGTCAAGCCCGAACAAGCGCGCACTGGGGATTGCACCAGTGCATATTGGATTCAGGGGTGGGTGTGGAACCACTACGCCAACAAAGGTCGCTAAGAAAATGAGCCCGTCATCACCCAAACGCCGCTCAGAAATTGAGCACCTGAATTTCTTAGCAAAGGGGTCCTTCATCAACGGAAAAGGCCGCTAACAAGTTCAACCCCTGAACTTCTTAGCCAAGAGTCCTTTATCACCCGGAAAGGCCGCTAAGAAATTGAGCCCCTGGAGTTCTTAGCGGGCACTTCCCTGATCAAACATGGCACAAGTTTGCAAAGAGATTGAGAAATTGGACGAAGAATCCAGGGGGGCTCAATTTCTCAAGTTGCAACCTACTTGATTTGTTATGCAATGATTTCTTGCTGTACCTTACCAGTATACCACATGTGGAAAAGGTCATGGAGACTCCAGGTGGGGCTGTGCCAAGCTAGGCAAACCCGAAGCACACCCCCCGGAATGGTTGTATGGGCTCCAAATCGCCCAAGGCAGTCACATGACAAACCATTTGATAGGGTCCTGGAAAGGATGCCCTCAAAAAAGCGGGCGCCGATATTGACAGTGACTTCAAAACCAGGCAAACCAATAAACACAAAACGAAAACAAACAAATAAACACAAAACGAAAGCAAACAAATAAACAACTGAACAAACAAACCGACCAAAAAAGAACGCACACAAGCAAGCTAGGCTCAGCTTAGATCGATTGCCCCTCCGGCGACAGGAGGGCACCTCCTTCTGCGCGGGTACACGGAAGGTGGACTCGGAGGAGTCGGCTGAAGCGTTTTTGTCGAAGCCATGGAAAACGAACCCGAGTCCACCTCAAAATGTGTGTGGTGTGTGTGGTGTGTGGTGTGTGGTGTGTGTGTGTGTGTGTGTTTGTGTCTGTGTTTTCGCGGGTATGCTTTTTGAACCACAAAATGGCTAGCCTCAAAAAGCGCAGACCCATTTAATTGGCTCGTTGTTTTGGGTTGCCATTCGCTGTGGCCAAGGCAATCCACCGTAAAGTGATAAAGTAGTCATGGGGATGGGAGTCCCATGTTTGGTATCACAGAAGGCAGTATATTTTCCAGAACCACGACTTCACCTGAGCTTTCATTCACCCCCCCCCTCAAACTGAGGACGATCCCTCAGATGCGCCAAGAAAATTACGGCCAGTGCAACCCGGTCCTGAACCAAATACAGGCAACACCCCAAGAGCTGGCAGGATATTTGTTGTTCCTGATGTCCCTTTCTACCAATCCAAACCAGGAGGTGCCAACTCCAAAATCAAGAGACCCCAATGAGATCCATGGAACCCTGCCATCCGGAAAATTAATATATTTAAGGTGTGTGTCACAATGTGACCCCCAAATTGGTCGGTTTTCCTTTGGCTTCCCCCTTAACCCACCAGAAGACGTCCCCTGAAAGAAGACCGGGGTTCGATTCGATGCGGGGCATATGCGAGGAGATGTCTTTCTCACGGCTCCTGGCCAAGAAGAGTTGCAGCTTGGCTCCGCCAAATCAGCCACGGCTCGCTCCCAACACCTCTTTGGTGCATTTTGCCAAGGGATGTTCTTTTTGCCAACTAATGGGTTTTCCATTAAAGGATGTTAGGACTTTAACTTGTTGCCAACTAATGGGCGTTCCCCATTAAACCGCTAAAAGTTATTCACTTTTAGCGGGGGAGCAGAAAGCAACCGAGAGCTGAAAGTTAGTGAAGCTGCGGAGGTTCTTTCTGGGTCCCTTAGAGTGAAGATGTTGTTGAGTAGTTCTAAGCATATGACTTTCGGGCTGTGACTTTTCGTTAAACCGCCACTAAGTCACTAAGAGGGTATATTTGAGGATGTTACTTCAATGGACCTAGGCTCAATGAGATCTATTAACACCTCTGCATCTATCGTGAGATCAATGGGTTTTGGTTGTTGCTGAAGTATTGAACTCTGGGGCAAAGAATGCAGGTGGTGCAGCGTCTCAGGCTTTTTTGCGGCTTTGGCTTTGCCAGGATGTTCCGTTTTGGCTTCCTTCAGAGGAATCTGTCACAAAACGCATTTCCTTCTGTGTAGAAGCCCTAGGGGGTCTTGGGAGAAATACAGGAAACCCCCAAAAAAGGGGTAAAATCCCTTTTGGAGGGGCTCCATTTAGAAAGAAAAAGCAACAACTCCAACCTGCAGCGAAGCCCATTGGAAGGATCCAGTTGTAGGCTCTGGAGACGGCTTCACCCACGAGCTCAACTTCGACCCTGTGGCAGAGCCCGAGCCGGTGGCGAGCCTTGGCATTTGCTCCTCGGTCCAAAGGTGCGAGGGAACGAGAGGAAGTCTTGTGAGATGGAACAACACACGAAGATGGCTTCAACTTGGTTGTCCTCAACAATTTGACCAGATTCCAGAGAAAGGACTTCATGAGCACTCCCATCTCAAGTAATTAACTGGATGATGTCCCATTCGTCCACATGGATTCATGCAAATGGCTTCTTTTGGTCCTTTTCGAAGAGACGAAAGGTGCACCCTCAAAGGCGTACATCGAATGCCTGGTGACACCATGTTCCACAGATGGCAACCAAGCTGAGAAACATCTCTTACAAGCGGCACCTAGAGACTTGTTGTGGTCACCGTTTGGGGTGGGTGAACCCCATTCCGGGCAGCAGCAGACCTCGGGTGTGGTCAACGTGTAGGGTTTTGCGAGCGGTTTAACCATGGCTTCCCTGTGTGGGAAATGGAATCACCTGATTGGCCAATATATCCACATTGTGAGCGGCACAGAACCTTAGGGAGTTGCTTCGCGAACGGTTCCACTGAGAAGCAGGCCCAAAAGGATCCGTTTTTTTTGTTGTTTCCCCTCGATTTGTTTGTCCCCAAGATCCTCTGCTTAGCAGCCAAAAGCAGATGGGTAACGATCATTTTGTCCAACATCCAGAAGTGATCCTGGAAGTGTACCTCTGTTTCAACCACTTTCCTCATCGGCTCGGACAGCAGTGCGACTTGAACGCAGGACGAAGGGTCCGAGCCATTTTTATAATCCTTTTCACGGGTTACCCGATGTTGGTGGCAAAACGTAGGTGTCACCAGCTCAGATCTTTCGAGAAGGCCGAGTGAGCGACTTTGAACGGGAAAGCAATAGCAAACCCGTGACCACCCACGGTTGGTATCAACTGTAAACCCATGACCATCTGGCATCTAGAGAATAGTTTTTCAACTTGGCCGAGTCCAAACCCAGTGGTGCTAGTGGCATGTTGGCAAGCCACTCGGAACCGAGTTTTTGGGTATTTTAAGATTTCACCATGGCCCAGACATTGCGTTGTGGAGACCGTTTGGGTTGATACCATGTTTGAGATGCACGTGGAATGACCTCGGTTTCAGCCTGACCATTGGACCCATGCCCATCTAGACCTGGCAAGCAATTGAGTATGAGTGGTGCCCTGTTTTCAACTTTTTTGGGTACGGGTTCCGATTCCTTTAAACTCAACCAACCAAAAAAGAAGGTGCCCTCCTTTTTCCCATGGCCACTGGGCATTTGTCCAGGTGTTTCTTTGCAACGCAAACATGCTGAGGACGCCATTGGTGCAGGTCGAAAACACAGCTTCCCTTGCTGGCCCGAAGGTTCGCCCCAGGCTTCTCATGGTGTTGTCAGCAAGAGGTGGTCGCTAAGGATGAAATCATTGAACTAAAGCTATGGCATTGACCATCGATCACGTGATACTCGAGAGTGATACTCGAGAAATTGCCCCCGTAGTAAATTGCGTTGAGCGCAGCCTTGGGGACGTTGACTTAGGCATAGGGCAAGACGCGTCACGGCAAAAGTCCCGAATCTCGATGCAGGACGACGCTTGGCTGCAAGTGGCGGAAAGAAAACTGGTGGCACCCCCACCCCGATTGGCGAATTTGTTTAGTGCCAACAGGAAACTTCTGACTCAAAATTGGCTCAACCCCCCTTTTTGCTGGTTGTAGGGTGTCTTAGTTGTTTAGTTGGCCTGTGTTCGCTAGTTGAAGGGAAGCCAACACAAACCGCTCTTTGTGAATTGAGGCACACCCCTCTTTCGGATATGAGTTCCAGGCGAATTTGTTGGCAGTTGTTCTGGCTAAGTGTCAAGCACTGACATGAACTGGTTACCAAGTGCAAGTTGATCTAAGAAACTCTAAGCTTATAGTTGCGTGGTTGATGTCTTTATCATTTTGGGGCCCAACAAGTTTATGATATACTGTTTTCTGTCCACTTGATTCGGTCAGGCTCAGCACCTGCCTTCCCTGTTACTCGACACAAAGTCGACCAGAACCAGTTGCGGGGGTACCCATGCGCCTTGATCACAGGATCTTGGGAGGGGCGGTTTCCATCTCTTTACTTGGGGTGGTCCACGTCGAAGATCCGCATGGGGAATGCGTTGCCCTGTGAGACGTGTGGTGTCAAATGGCTTTCGGATGGCCGCTGAAGATGGGGAACCCGCCTGCACATGCTTCCTAAAACAAATATGCTTCATTGTACCGCGGCTCGAATGCCGCAATGCTTGTGTCCGGAGACTCTCATGTGCCAAATAGTCGAACAAGCTCCTAAAATCAAGAATCGCAGAAGCGCATCGTTGGTCTAACCATTTGTTTTCAATTTTGCCCTGAAGTGAACATTTGATGGAGTAATGCTCGTTTATCTTTTCCAGACCATTTGTTTGGGCTTGGTTGGCCTCATATGACAATTCCCTGCTTGGTTTCCTTCCCGTTTGGCCTCTTAAACCATGACAACGCTGTGTCAAAAAGCCCCCCCCCCTAAAAAAAAAAAACGAAAACAAGCAATCAAGCAAGAAACAAATGGGCAGGTTTTTTTTCGGCTCCCTTGAAACCATTCTGAACAGCGTGCCCTCAAAAAACAACAACCTCGACCTCCAAACCCAAGCTTACCTGACCACCAGTTGATCAGCGGGTCTTATTCATCCCACTCCCTTTGAGTTGGGGGGTCTGTTGTTGGGCGGTCACCCCAGGGGCCCTGAAACTGGTGAGTGACTTGTCCCCTCGTCTCAGGACTGCGACTCGGGGGAGTTCACCCACGTGGCGCGTTTCGCGGCGCGCCGCGCCAAGTTCGCGCTGCAGAGCGACCGCCTCTTCTGCGTGCCGAACGCGGCGGGGGACGTGATCCGGGCGCCTCGGGCCGAGCGGATTTCTTGCCATGTTGCCCAGCGGTGCCCTGTTTTCTTTTTCTTTTTCGAGGAAGGGGTTCCCCTTTCAAACTCAACTAACACAAAAGGGTGCCCTTTTTTTTCCCATTGCCACTGGGCATCTGAGTTGCCGTTAATGTTGACCCCAAATTCATCCACCCCAGTTTACTAAAAGGGGGGGTGCTTCTCCCTGGGTTTAGTGGGGAATCAGACCACTTCTAGAGGGGAACACCCCCATATGAATAAACTGGGGTTGATTAATCTGGGGTCAACATCACGGTGTTCTGCTTTTTGCTCGGCGGTGGGGAAGGAGGGTTGGTTGCAACATGAGTGGAAGAACCAGACCCGATTTGGTTTGCTTGAAATGCAAAGCACCGAGGAGATTGTTTATGCATGTTCAAACTGCAGGGTGGGCCCAACCATGTTTGATTTTCTTACTTCTGTGAAGCCCGGGAACCTTCCGCCCACAATGCTCTGAACTGTGTGCAGGAATGCCCAGAGACTGGGAAATTGAGATGTCCTTTATGTGCAGGTGTCCGTGACTGTAGATTGCGAGGGCATTTTAGTCGCAAAGCAGGCTGTAGCCGACTAAGGGGACCTTGGTCCATGGCAAGTGGGCAACCATGGATTCAGGGAAAAATGGTTGCAATTTGCTGGCGTAAAGATTCCACTCTTGTTCCGGGAAATTTGGAAATTGAGTGACCGCGGATTTTGGTGGGTGCAGTTTATTTTCAGACATACCATGGTTCCCCAGTTCGCACTTGGTGCTCTGAATCCACTGACGGGAACCCAACAAACAAACAAACAAACAAACAAACAAACAAACAAGCAAGCAAGCAAGCAAGCAAGCAAGCAAGCAAGCAAGCAAACAAACAAACAAACAAACAAAACAAAAAAAAAACACAAAGAAACAAAGAAACAGACAAACAATGTCATCATCATCATCATCATCATTATTATCATCATCAGCATCAGCATCAGCATCAGCATCAGCATCATCATCATCATCATCATCATCATCATCATCATCATCATCATCATCATCATCATCATCATCATAGGAAAGCCTTGGTGCTCTAGAGGGAACCCAAAGGCCCCCCCTACGCCATCGGAGGTCCCACGGGCCCCGTCTACCACCAAACCACGCGACGGCGCTTTGAGGCCGAGGGCCGCTGCACGGGCACGGAGGGCTTCGACTTCGCGCTGCCGGTGGACCACGAACATCCAGCGCCTCGAAGACCTGGGAGATCACAGGTGTTCTTGTTGCTTGTTTTACTAGAAACATAGAGGGCGATGCCTGGTTTGGTGGATTAATTATCTACGTGGACATGTTCACGTTTATGTTTTTGAGTGTTTGTGTGTGTGTGTGTGTTGTGTGATGTTGTGTGTGTGTGTGTGACTGCTTTGGTGCATTTTGCCAAGACTTTTTGCCAACTTTCACTAAAAGTCTTTCACTTTTAGCAGGGGAGCAGAAAGCAACCGAGGAGATGCTTTTTTTTTGCCTGCCCCCCCACAAAACCCAACACGGCAAAACATGTAATGCGGCCTTGCCCATCATGTTGGGGCATGTGTTTGTCTCTTAATAGTTGACTCACTCGCGGAGTTGCTGGACCTGGCAGTTGGCACTCCCAAAGTTCCTGGATCGACTTGAGTTCATGGGTTTTGTTTTTGGGGGGAAGCCGTCTCGACCCCTTTTTTCGGAGGGAGGGGGGGGAGCCCTCTTGACCCCTTTTTTTCTCAGGGGGGGGGGGAGGGGGGCGGGAAGCCCATGTTAATTTAGTGAAAGCCAACAGTTTGGCCCTTGAGGTCTCAGAGATCCACCCGGATCTGGCCAAGGAGTTGCGCCTCTGCGTGGGCTTCCGCGAAGGAGCCTCCTGGGACCTGGGGGGGGGGTTGGGAAGACCGGAGGGTGGCAAAAATCGCCCCGTGGTTCTTGGCTTTGCCTAAAGGAGACCCAAAGACGATGTGTATGTTGATGTGACTTGTTTGTAAGAATCCTGACAGGTTTCAGCCCCACGCGATCAGAAAGTCAAGGAAAGACCCAAGTAATGTTCGCCAGCCCGAACACTTCAAGACAACAAAAAAGACAACCACGAAATCAAGTTCTACGAAGACCCACAAAGCACCGTCGGCAAATTACAGACACACACGCACACACACACACACACCCACACACACACACACCAAAGACCGATGAAGGCATGGCCAAGGCTCCGATATGTCGCTCTCCAATACAAACACACACACACACACACACACCCGCGCGCGCGCGAGCCAAGAGGAGCATATATGATATATCATAAAGTCGTGTCGGCGGTAAGCAGTTTTTAGTTTTTCTCCTTTTTGGGTCGTCCACTCGTTACGTGCGAGACGGGTCACGCTCTCTTTGCGGTTTGCGCGAGGCAAGGACAAGCCCTCCATCGGGGTGGACCAGCAATGCGACAGCCTCCAGCGCATCTTGGCGGGATCTTGTAGAGCTTCCGAGCGAGGCTACAGCGGCGGCATGCTTTTGTAGGTAGAGAAGATGTTGGGCAACCCTGACCCAAACCCGGAAAGAGATACAAACCCAGAGGGTGTCTTGGTACTTCATATTGGTGGATTTGAGGAAGCTGTAATCGACGAATCCCCGACGGAACCAAACCCAAAGCCGTAAATATATGGGGTACTTGGGACACTCTGGGAAAGCGATCGTGGCATGCTTTTGCAAGTGGATAATATTCTGTGGAACCCTGATCCAAACCGCTGGTTTAGCTGACGGCAGCTGACGCAGGACGGGCCTCGCGGAAGGATGTTCAACTGAAGGTAATCCACTCTGACCCAACAAGCCGGCTTATGGGCAAAGGGATTGGGGAATGTTCAACTTCAAGCCAGAGAAGCACGTGGGTCAAAAGTTAACCACCAGGGGACCGCAGGTTTTAGTCTGTGTTTCCACTTACTAGGGCAACCCATTTTTGGTACCTGTCCTTGACCCACAGGCGGTTGTCTCAACTCAGACAAACAAAGAAGCACTGGGAACGGGGATGAGGGCAAATTTCGGTTTCGAGTTGCTTTGTTTCCCAGGGCGGGTGCTTCTGAGAATCCAAAAGGTGGCAGACATGTTGGGACATACGGCATGATCAGATGTGTATGCGTTACTTTCACATGTCTACATTTATCATATGTGCAGTATGTGCGTTTGGTATGTTTGCTTGCACACACACACACACATAGATGATATACTTTGGTCATTACATGCACGCATATGGGTGCGTTTTTTGTTGAAGGTACCCCTTTCCGGGGTGGTTTTGAAGGGAAACCAAAAGCTGACCCCACTATTTTGGGGGTCCTCCAAAACAGACCCATATACTCACTTCCTGAGTTCATGAACTTGAAACTTTTTGGGAAGACCATTTTCGTGGTAAATATAAAGTTTGGACTTTTTTTGGGCCATCCACTCAAGTGAGTATATCGACGTCTTCCCAATTCGCCTCAAACCCCACTATTTTGGGGGGGTCCGCAAAAAAAGACACAGCCATACATCGACGTCTTCCCTCACTTCGCACGACCGGCTCGAGTCATCTAATCTTTCGTCGCCGAGGTCTCAGTGTGGACTTTCAAGCGCCCTCGCTGCTGGACGTGGCGGCGTCGATGCCATCGGCGCACGCCAAGACGGCGCCGCTCTTTACCATCGTGGAGGAGGAGGCCGGGAGTCCAGCCTGATATTTGGTGGGTTCCCCACCTGGAATCGAAAGAGAAACAAAGGAATCCCTTGGAGAGTTACACACCGGAAATAGACCCAAATAGAGAAAAAGGTGGCCAATCATAGATGTCCTTTTTGGTGGTAGGAGCTAATCATCTACCAGGGCCATCTATTTCCCCTAAAAGGACACCTATGGTCAAAAGCGGAAGCCGCGCGGGGATGGGCCTGACCCATGTCATGGGTTCCCTCAAAAAGACACACCCATTTGTTGGTTGCGGGAAGCGTATGGAGGTCAGGCGTTCCATTTAGCTGCGAGCTTGACAGAACATGGATGAACAGAACATGGACCCCTCCAACCAGAAAACGCATGGGGGCACCTTTTGTTGAAAAAGCCCCCTTTTGGGGTGCCAGTTTAATTTGGGGGCCTCGTTGGCTTTCCTTTTAAATCATCCCATGATATAGTTGGAACCTTTGCTGAACGGTTTGGTTGTGACTTGTTTTTCAGGTTGGCCAATTCCTTCAATAATAGCCCCGTCCTTCGGTTCATGAAGCAAGGTTGTTGTGTTTGCTTCTATGACCCCTTTTTGTTCGCTTAGTTTGTTAACATACTTGTTTGGTTACCTTCGGGAACCTCAGTTTCGAGGCCTTGATTCCACTGTTTTTCTTAGCGGACAAAACGCAACGCCGTACAGCGCTGTTGAATTATCGGTCGGTCTTAGACCCCAAGTTTCTACTGCTGCCTTCCCCATTCTTCCAGGGATCCTTGTTTCCAGAAAACCTCCGGAAACCCAGGGAAAACGGCCGGTTTTTGAAAAGAACGATGGTTGAACAGAATGGCGAAGCAACCCTTATGTGTTGTTTTGGCCGGGAACTGGCAACATGTTCATTTGCCAAAAGGTCAGCCGGTCAAAGGTCGCAGCCACAAGCAACACGGATTTCAGGGATCCCAGCGTCAGAGGCCTTCAGCTAGCGGACGTTTGTCCGCGAAGTGAGCTGGTTCTGGTTTCAGCTATATGATCAAGCAGAAAGGCGGTAAGACCTGCAACTCAAAGATTCCCGGTTTAACAGAGCAAGCACTTGTAGAAGGGCTGCATAAAAAGGTCCAAAGGATTTGCTCAACTTTCCGAGGCTGTCTTTCCAAGCGGAACATCGGTTTCCGCTTCGGATGTTCTAACTCTCACTGCCCATTCAAAGTAACCGGCGAAGGGGGAGCTCGGGACAGTCCTGTGCGGAAGATTTTAGGCAGACAGCACAACAGCATTGCCTGCGAAAAGAGCCTTGCTGGATCGCAAAGTAGCAAATCCCCTGTGGCAGGTTTCTCTTCGCCCTTGTTCTTTGTGTTATGTTTTTTTTGGGGGGGCGGGGGTACACACGTTGCTGGTTTGCTGTTCAATAATCGTAAAGTTAAGCCAGACTCAAACCGGACTTCACGTTGATGCTTCCGCATTCCATTTGGACAACACAGTTTGGACATGTTGTTGGATAAGCCCACGGCTTGGGAGGATCAAAGGGATACCACCCAGTTGTGGACAAAGCTTGTGCCTCAAGTCCTGTTGAGCAGTCGAATCCGGAGGTGACGTGCTTTGGCTTCCTGTGCCCCAACGTGCTGAAGTAGATGTACCGCGCACCGTGCATCGGCTTAAAGGCGAACTAAATATCCGTGCACAGGCAAGCATGAAGATCGATGTTTTGTGTTTCAGGTTGCTTGGATGTTGCCTGGACGTATCTTTATGGATATCCCCCGTGGTCCTGTTTGTTGGGGGGTGCCTGACAAATGGACATGCGCAAAAACCCTCAGTTCCATTCCACAAGGGAGGTAGTCTTAGGAGGGGCTGTGTACTGCCATGTTTGTTAGAGGGACGCACAAGAGCCAAGAGCTTGTCCATCAAATCCCAAGCACTGTCAATTGGCCTCGTTGTTCACTTTTGTTGCAGGCAATAAGGTCCAACACCGACCCTTTCAATTCTATTGCCCTGGCTCTTGAGCAAGTGCGGGATATGGTGCTGGCGTGCTGTGGCGCCAGCCCGTCTTGCTAATCGCAATCTGAAGCAATGTCAATGTGCAGCGAGCTGATTCGTGGCCCAGCTTGAAGATCAAGCTGACTGTTACATAGCCGCCATGGAGCCAGCAAGCTGAAGTTGACGCCCGGCAGGTGCAAAAATAATCACAAGCGCTGGAGTTCCGAGTGACCCAGTTGCCCGCTGGGTTTCGGGCCAACTTGAGACCTTAAAATCTAAGAAGAGACATGTAAGGTACACACAACATGATACATCCTCGGTTCATATGCCCGGGCTTGCAGTCAGCTGGGCGGTAAACACTTAGAAACGCCCCCGAAGACTCCCGTTTGGACGCGTGAGCATCGTGGCTACTGCGCGAGCGCGAGCGTGTGTGTGTGTGTGTGTGTGCGTAAACGGCCAACCTAGAATATAGTTACATACGTGTGACTCGCAACATAATCCAGCACATGCACACCAAGGAGGGGCAAGCCACTTATATACTTGACCAGGAACATGCGCATGGCTACAAATATTACATAAATGTAGTTATCTACATGGTTTCTTGATCAATTTGGTCGTTCTGTTGTGTCAGCTACCTTTGGGGGAACACTCAGAAACGTGTCTAAATCTTTGCGTACAGATAGCCCAGTGTTTTTAGTCTACCCAAAGGGAAACCAAAAGGGATGTTTTTCCAGACCCCCCCCCCACGTTGTGTTTATTGTTTGGAGGTGTTGCTTAATAGAAGGCTCGTAGGAGGGTGGGGTTGCCTCCCATCGTTTTGATTGTTCTTTCGACACGTCATTGATTGTTCTTTCGACACCGGTCTCCAAGAATGTGCACGTAGGTGTCCAAAGAGCTCAGGTTGGTTGAGAATTGACACACGCATTACATGTTGGAACTCGTTTAGGATCGGCAGGTAGGTTTGGGTTGGTTTAGGGTTGTTTTGAGGTTGTTTTGAGGTTGGTTTCTGGTTGGTTTCGGGTTCGAATATTTGAGGGGGTCTTCACTCCCTGAGTTCCAGGACTGTAGTCACTTTTGGGGTTTTGGACCGTTTTTGTGGTAACTAAACAGCTTGGACTTTCGTTGCCAGCCCACAAAGGGAGTGAGAGAGACTGTGAGAAATTCATTTGGCCTTTCAGCTTACAATTCCCCTCTCAGGATGCAACTGATTGGAACCCATAAGAGTGTTTGGACATGAGGCTTGAGGGTTCTCAGGGCCTGTTTTGGTTGGGTTTGGGCGGCGGTGGTGGCATTTCCGCGCGCCGGGGGCTGGTTTGAACCCGTCTCCTTGGCAGTGACTCTGCCAGGGCTTCGGCGCCGGGAACCCGGTGAAGGGCAAGAAGAAGAAGTGCCCGGGACGAAGATGGGCAAAAGGAAGGATTTCAGGGCCGAAACGAAGATGGCCTAAACCAGCGTTGGGGGGCAAAGACGCCTGCAAGTTTGTTTGGGGTTGGTGAATCGTTGCAATTCACTCTTGGTTGGACCGTGCGAATGGGTTCGGCAAACAAATGGATGGTTCCCCCAGGAATGACAGTTGAACTTTCCGCCCGAAAGTTGGGGCTGGGGGTTCTGACGCGGACCCCGCATGTTTGAATTTTAAACAATGGTGTTGCAACATCATTTGACCCCGGATTGAACACAAACTCCCTGGTTGATTTGAGACCACTGACTTTTGGGGTGATGTGGCCGCCTTTGAAAGGGTGACAGAGGGTCACTGCTAACCCTCCCTCATAGAACAAGTGGTTGCTCCTAAGTCCTGAGAGTCCGAACTTGTGCAGCCCGTTAAGATCATGAGACCCTGCTCGGGGTTTAAGCCGCATCCTTACCTCTTCTAGGTCCCCCAGTAGTGGCCTTTTACTTGTTTTTTGGGGGGGGGAGGGTTCCCGTACTGAAATAGACTAGAGAAAAAAGGGTGGTAATTACTCTATTCTAATCTCTCAAGTCTGGAGGACCTCGTCTTCCTTAAACGCTCGGCCCGTTCTGAGAGATCCCTGAGCTTTTGATGCCGTAGGTACGTGGATCACTCGGTGGAAGAGCTGGATGTGGTTTTCGGCATTGGCAACGGGTGCTGGCCTCAGGACCTCGGGAAACCTCATCTCTTGAGACCGACGCATTTTCTTTTGGCCATTTCATATATATATATATATGAAGCGCGGTCAGAATTTACGGAAAAGGAAAGTAGTCTACACTTGGACATCCACATAGCTCAAGGTGCTTGAAGCCATGGAAAACGATAGGGGACTCTCAAAAAAACGATACCTTTGTGCTACAGACCAAACGTTGGAAAACGATAGGGGACTCTCTAAATTCGAACGTACTTACTGTGAACAACAAATTTTGACGGAACTTCATATACATATACATTTATATTATTTGTATATATATATATATATATATGTATACACATATATATATACATGTATAAGGTCCCCCCCCACTTTTCCTCTTTTCTAGTTGAAGGTGTCAAGTCTACTCCGGGGGGGGGTGAGTATATATATATATATTTGTATATCTGGCTGGCTCCTAGCCATCCCCTTAGCTTTTTTCGTTTTTTAGTGTTTAGCGGGGGCGTTCCATTCAACCCACTAAAAGTTGAACTTTTAGCGGGGGAATTGAGGACAACCCAGATATGTAGAGAGAACCATCTCAAAAGTGGTTGGTGGACATGAATCCCCAGCTGAGTTTGGTGGCAAACAGATGAGTTCCACTGGTTCCACTTTGGTTTTGATCATTTGCCCGAGCCAATTTGGGTGTGTGTCACGTGGCCTTTCTTGCTGCTACCCATTTAATCAGTGCGTTCTGGAGGAAGATCTCGAGGACATAATCAAGAAATCAAACGCGATCCCCCCCCAAAAAAAAGAAACACTCAAACAAGCAAAGAGAACAAACTAGTAGTTTGGTCAAGCGCATTTGACCCAAAGCACACCTCCATTTTCAAGAACATATGTTGCCCAAAACCTAGTTCGGCCAAGCAACTCAAAGTCTCTTTGGTTCATTTGCCATTCGGCCAATGTGCCACCACTGCGCCAGTGGAGCTCGGCTCCAGTTTCCCAGGACTCCCGCTTCGCCTTTTGGGAAAGTTTGAGGCCTCAGGGCTGCTCGGTGCGAGAAGGCATTGTCCTGGCGGGGGACGTAGAAGAGTTCCAGGCGGGGAGTCGAGTCGGCTTCAGGGGGTCAGTGGTTTTGTTTCTCGGGGAGTTTCTCGTTGTTGGTTCTTCATGTTTTGTTTGTGTGTTCGCTTTTGCACCAGTGTGTGCTTGTTGTCTCACTCCCTGAGTTCCTGGACTTCAACACTTTTTGGGAAGACCATTTTGGTGGCACAAAAAAAGAAGTTCCTGGACTTCTTTGGGCTAGTCCACTCAGAAAGTGTTTGTTTGGTTTTCTTTGCGTCTTGTCTGTGATGTCTGCGCTTTTTGAAAAGGTTGAACAAGTTGAAACGAGCTTGTTTTTCTTCAGTTGATTTTAGTTGAAGCCAATGTTGTTTTCTTTGTTTGATTCCTTTTTTGCACCAGAGTGTTGGGAAGGAAAAACTCTATTTACCTCATTGGAAGACTAACTTCCATGAATACGTTCGGTTAATCCTACCAGAATGAAAACCAGTCACCCAAGCTACAGGTAGATACTTGTAGCTTTCGCCACAAGGTTTGCTTGCCGCTTACGTCTTGCACGCACAAACAATTATCCTTCCTCCTCAAACCGCAAACCATCCCGGAAAGGGTGCTTGATTGCAGCACACAGCCGTGCTTCTTCCATAGGTGTCCTTTTTGGTGGTTTTGGCAGAAACACAGAGCGCGATTCCTGGTTTACCTGGTGGGAACTAGCTCATCCACCAAAGGAACCCATCTATTTGCCCTAAAAGGACACCTATGTGGGAGAAGCTATCCTTTTTTACCTGCCCCCACCCCCACTAAACCCAAAACATCGAAACATGGGTCCTTGATTGCAGCACACAGACGTGCTTCTTCATTTTCCTGCCTCGGACCTCGTCTCCCTTTTGGTGCCGTTTCGAGTTTTGCCAGGTGCTCCGATTGACGGAGTGGCCTACTGTCTCCCCGGCAAAAACAATTGACGGCGAGAGGTACGGTTGGTCGCCAAATAGGCTTGATAACCTGAAAAAATGGGTCCAAATGGGCTTGAATACCCGAAAATGGGTGCTTGAATGCCCGACAATGCGCGGTTTTGCAAAACCCCAACACTTAGTCACTTTTTGGAAGACCATGTCGATGTGGCCAACAAAACGTTGAACTGTTTTGGGGCCAGTCCATTGCCCTTTAAAGCAACGCCGGACAGGGTACGATCAAGAGCAGAGGGAACCAAGTCTTGCAACTTAAACCAATCACAATGCTGAATTTCATGGTTTCCTTGGTTCCCCCTTGGAAGACTTCTGGTTTTGCCGTTTGACCGTGGTTGGAAATGGGCCGAAATGGGCCCCCTTTTGTTTCCCAAGCGGGTTTTTGGGTAGTCCCTGCGACTACTGGGAGGCCTGTGAACAGCATCCTCGCTCGTTTTGGAGTGGCCCTCAAAAAAAATATGGCCGTTGTTTCTCTTTCGTGGGTATTCTTGCTCGTTCCATTCGAATTGAATTCAGTCTGTGCATCTTAGGGAAGCTTTGGGCGTGACTCTTCCGGCGGGTCGAATCACAGCAGACCGCGTGTGAGGTGGCGCAGGGCTCCGAAGTCCATCGTGCCAGGTGATTCTAGGCGCAGACGTTCTCATACGAGACCGCCTGGCGCTGTCGTTCGGAGCCTCAGTCGGATCCGTTCGGCAACTGACTGGATGTCTTGGGGGGGTAGAATTTGTGTGTGTGTGTGTGCGCGTGTGAGAGTGTTTTTTTTTTACCGCCTGTGAAGGAGCGCCAAAAGGAAGCGCCTAAGCTGGTCAAAGACCCGGAGAAGTTTGAAGCCAGCCGGGGGATTGGGCCCTGACTCCCTTTTAAAACATGTTTAGGCAGCGCTTGTGCCTTTTTGTCAGCAACTGTCGGTTAGTTTTTACTTAGTGGAGGAAAGGATGGGTGTTTAAACACGCTTTGCCCAAAACAAGTCAGACACACATATGCGCTGGGTCAATTTGTTGTTCATGTTGAGGGGTTCGAGGGTCTCTTCAAGTTTAGAAAGGCTGACTTTCCAATTCTTAGATGTTGAGATTCCACAATTCAAAGAGGCTTCGAGCTGTTTAGGGCATGCGGACAAAATGGTAGTCAGCTCTCACTTCCACGAGTATTTGCGATTGGGTTCAAGTGTCCCACGGGGTGATCTGGCGCAAACTGTGTGCGAACGGTTCGATATTCTCCCGCCGTTTTTTCTTCTTGTTTTTGAAGAGGGAGAGGGAGATTCCCTTTCAAAGCAACCAGCTATAAGAGAATGCCATGGTTTCTTCCCATGGCTATTGGGGGTCTCTGAATGAGTGGTGCCCTGTTGCTGGTTAAAAAAATGAGGCTGCTTGTCTAGTCTAATCCCAAGATGTGTTCACAGAGAAGCACCAGCATTTTGTGTCAGTTGCATCACACGGTTGGATGTTGCATAGGACGCCCTCCAGCAATTGTGCAGGCCAGCTATGCGTCAAAAAGGAAGCCCAGAGTCAGGTAGCACTGGTTCTTGTAGAAGGCAGATGGGGAACCGCCCCACCTCCAAACCACCATTTCAAAGCACCAAGTACAGGGAAGCTGATATATGTTGAACCGAGGTAGTGTTCCGCAACAAACACCAACCATGTTGTCTTTTCTGCATGACTTGTTGTTTTGGGGTTTATGCCTGCAACATTGCATGGCCACACCGTTTGTGGATGCCACACGTCGGGCTGCAACCTCGTCAAATGCAGTTTCTGATATTCAAAGTGGGTGTCAAACATAGGTGTATCGTTGCGGTTTCCATCAAAGTCTATAGCTGCCTTCAAATTGACAGTGCTACGGACCATATGTCCAGTCATAGAAGCAACACAGCTGCCCATGCCATTGCCTGCAACGCCTTCAGCTTGCAAGCTGGAGCAACTGACAACACTGGACGGCGCGGCGAAGATGGCGGTAGCAGCCAGTCGGCTTTGAAAGCTGGCACCTGTGCCGTCTGGACAGCTGCCTCGGGTGACAGAAATCAGTGGCGTGCACTACCTGGTCATTCTGGCAGAGGTATGCTTACGACGCAAATCTTCGAGCATTGGAAGATTCCGGTGCTTTGAGGCAGCGGCGCGCGTCTAAAGCAGGCGATGGCATGCGTGCTGGGCATCGCTTCAGGTTTTTGTGGGCGGACTTGAAAGACACCTGTAGACACCAAAATCCCCAAAAGCATTATAGACACCTGTCAAGTTTGACTGGACCTTCGTCGGGGGGGGGGGGAGTAGCACAAATGCATATAATAAATACATATTTATATATATATATATAAATAGATAATCAAAATACGTTTGTATTTGCAAATTTGCATGTTGCAGAATTGGGCACCAGTTATCAGGCGGTCACCTGGGGATACAGCGAGCTCATGAAGATCCTTAGCTTTCCCTGAATTCAGGCTGGTGAATCTTCCTGAGGTTTCCTGAGCCCAGCCGACAAGCCTAAGCCGACCCTAAGCCAAACCCTGAGCCAAACCCAAACCAACCCCAAAGCACTCCTAAACCCACCCAAAGCCGAGCCGTTGATTGGCTTTTGTCCACGGCCGTCGCTGAGGTTCCGGCAAAACCGGATGTATCTTCCTTCGGGAAGTGCCGCGGAGGGAGTCATCGACGTGTGAAAAATAACCGCTCAAGGAGATTGGGCTTTTTGTGGCGCGTTTGGCCAAGGCGAACAAGGGTGAATTCTTGGGATGGTTGCCAGTCACCACGGCTTCTGCTTGTTCTGCTTCTTCTGCTTGTTCTGCTTGTGCTGGCCATGAAGCTGTAAAAGCATGAAGTTGATTTTAGACCCGTCACCACGGCCCCGACCCACCATATCCCATTTGGAGATGAGGGCCATGGTCAGTTTCCCAGTTGGGAGGCTGCTGCTCGCGGACGTTGTTCTGAATCCGGGCTAGCCACAATAGTGCAGATGTTGATTGGCTTCACGCGGTTGTCTAGCGCATGTTCCAAGTTTTGCGGAGCTCACTTTTTTGGACATACCATCCTTATAATTTTATAATAAATAAACCGTTTGGACTTAGGAGCCATCCAGGCTCGTGAGAACTCGGCGCGAAACCGGAGCCCTGGCTTGGCGCTTTTCTCGCAGCCGCGCGCTGCTCAAAGCCGCGGGGATTGTGAAAGTGGGGTCAAAACCCAGCGGCTCGGCAGTGCCGTGGGGTTTGGGCCCGGGGAATTTGGCGGGGTTTGTGAACGCTTCCATGTTAAGAAGTGTTGGTCATTTCCCCCTGTTGGTTTGAAACGGATTCTAGCACCAGATATTTTTTGTTCAGGGGACTTAAGGAAATGGAGGGTTGGTTCACTTGCACTAGGGAATCCGACATGAGTTGGCCTCCTGAAGATGAGCAACCTGAAGTGGTTTCCTTTTCAAGAAATCAGTTTCTTTGTTCCTTTTTTTTTCCGGGGCTATTGGAAGGCCTCTGCTGGAGCTGTTTGTTGGGAAAGAGAGGGAGTTGCTGTCAACAATCGGAAAGGTGAACGGCTCGAACAACCCGATCTCTTCTAGTTTCTCTCTTCCGGCTAGAACTCCAACGAACATTTTGGGGACTCTACGCGCCCCTGGCTTTCCCCAAACGGTTTGCTCCGCAGGGAGACGGGCAAACAGGACGCCTTTGTGTCAGCATGTAACAGGCACCTCCAATGGTCAGCCGACCTGCCGAGTATAGGGTAAGCATGACTGGAGTAGACTAGACAACAACCCCGGGATTCCTGGAGGTCTCTAGGTTTCACACGACAGCTGATTTTTGCCTGGGTGCCGATGCTATTGCTTTGGAATCATCCCATGTGTGTGTGTGTGTCACGTCTAAATCGGAATTTGCATGGGGTGATTGAGGGGGAACTGGAGGAATCCCAAAGCTTTGCTTTACTACCGTGGATGGACGAAAAGCAGCACCACCTAAGAAACCCTGGAATGATTCGATTCCGCTGTAAATACCAATAAACAATGGTTTCAACCATGGTTTCATCTCGTGGTGCGAAATAGATTTGGTCTATCCACAGTATGGCCTACATTTGTTCCACACATGACCCCACCAAATGGAAGCCGCAGCGTTGATCAGATCACCCAAGCCAAGAGGGTGAGCCGGTTGCGAGGTCTATCGGGCAGAGATGAGCAAGAACAAGCGTGCGGCCGGCAAGTTTCTTGCTGGACGCCCTGAATATATATATATATATAATATATATATAGGTCTTCCAACATGTGCAAAATCATTGCTGTTTTGTCCAAAACTATGTTTTTTGACCCAACGGCGGTTATTTTCGCCTGCCGGCAGTTTTCAGTGTTTGCACACTCTAGCATCAATCAAAATTGCAAAACGGCGTAATTTGCCGTCAAAACGGCGTAATTTGCCGGCGAAACGGCGTTTTTTTTTGCCTGGTTCCGAGCTGGACTCACGGCGAGCGCTTTTTCTCCGAAAGAGCGTTTTTTTCAGCAACCGGCGAAAATTATTGCTGTTTTGGGAAACGGCGTTAATTTTACATGTTGGAAAGTCCAGGATATATATATGTAGATAAATATATATATATATATATATATGCATATTTTCTTTTTTTTATGTATATGTCTATATATATATATATATGTATGTATGTCTGCATTGCAAGTGCAATGAACGGCAAGTTACTCGGGTTTTGCGACAGATGCCGTTGGGCTTGCAAGCAACAACACAGTTGCCGTCCATCTTTCGGATCCTTGTGGCCTAGAAGTGTCAATCGCCTTGCATCGCGCTGGTCTCAGCGGAACTGGAAGACCGGAAGCGTGTGCTTGTGGGGAGTAATGCCATCGCTTTATCTGCGCTGGAGGTCAATTTTCCCGGGGTGGTCCGGGCAAAAGCGTGTCCTGAAAGTATAGGTTCGCTTGTTTGGTTTGGCATCTCAGGCTTGCGCCCTCAAGGATCTTTGGATTTGGAGGGCAAAGTGGGTGCCACTTGTTGCGTGCGGGATTGGCTTTTTTTTGTTTGGGCCTTGTTTCCTTGTGGCTGCAACCCCAAAAAAAAAAACGCAAGCCATTTTGGTGGTACATTTGGAGGCCCAACCCATATCTTCCCCCCTTAGCGCGCCCTCATTTTTGGGGGGCTTCGAACTGCTCGCCAGGCATCCTCGCCCTTTTTGATGTGGACGGGACACTGACGGAGCCACGGAAATTGGTGTCCCCGGAGACGCTGACTTATCTGCAGGACTGCCGGAGTTGGCGCGAAGGAGACCGTCAACTTCCGAGTGCGTTGTGGGTGTTTCAAAAAAACAACGCCTCTTGGCCTAAAAATTTCCTGTGGCTTCCCTAACACCAATCAAACGAGGGGTCCGAAAGGGGTTCCCCATATGTCCCCCTTTTGTGGGTGTTCAACATCAGCCTTTTGTTTTCTTTTGGTGGGGTGATGTGTTGGGAAATTAGGGAACACTACAGAAGCAAATCCAAGTTAAGAAAGAATAACTTGGGTTACATTCGGAACCCACCACCAAACCAACTAAAAGGCTAAACACTTGGGACCCATGGAATCTTTCTGCAGCTCGGTGGTTCTTCCGAGGAGCTGCGGACAAAGATCTGCATCGGCGTCGTGGGGGGCTCCGATCTTGTGAAGCAAAAGGAGCAGCTCGGCGACAGCCGGACACCCGGACCGAGGGCCACGTCGGGGTTTGGGCCGTGGGTTTTGGGATTGGTTCAAGGGACAGTCGAAAGTAAGCGGGTGGAAATGAAGCCGAGACCCTGAAGAATCATTGACTTTGGGTACATGCCCCCATCTGAGGGTCATGGAGACTCTCGGAGATGCACGCTGCTGGGTTTTAGATCAACTTTTTCATGCAACTGCTGTAGTTTGTTCGCTGCTTGATGCTCTACACTGAGTGAGCATTGTGTTGAAGGTGCCCATAGGCACAGCATCAGGACAAACGTGACGGGGTTTGCAGGAATACAATGGCGAGCTTTCAGTGACATCCTGGGCATGTGTCAGAACCAGGTCTCTCTGGCTTTGAGACAATAATCACTGGTCTGTTGCTAATGTTGACACAAGATGCTTGCAGGTGGGAGACGGAGAAAATAATCAAAGTGCTCCTAAGATGCTGCAAACAAGGGGAAGTTTACCTTTGCCTGCCTCGTTTCTGTTGATTTTCCTTGCGGCACGCCTGGCTTCGGGCAATGCTGAGGCCCAGCTCTGTTTGACTACGCCTTCTCTGAGAATGGCCTGCTAGCGTTTAAGGACAGGCCCTGGTTGCCTTTGGACGGCTTTCGGCGCCATCCAAAATTCAACCGGCTAAACGGGGTAAATTAATATGTATCTTATGGGGCTTCTCTTGAATAAGGGGCACCACTCTTTTTGTGGGGCGAACGGGTTGCCCAAGGAGACCGTGGACCGGGACGGAAATCAAACTTGCGTAATGCTGCGACATATTGTCCAAGTCTAAAGGTCACTTTAGAAGAGGGCTTGGTTTGAAGACCGGCAGGAGTCCTGCATGTTGTCCAAGTTTTTGTCAGACTTATGATCCGGTGCCCAGGCTTTCCTTACCCAGTCAAACATGGTGTTTCCGTGTGCTGGAGTTCGAGATTCTTGCCCATCGAAACCTGCCGGCACAGGCTTTTAGAGGTTGATGCCTTGCCTTGGTGCGTGCCAAAACGGGTTGCCATGTTTGGGCATGCCTTAAGGCGATGCCGCTCATGTGTGCCAGAGCTTGACGAGCGTGCGAGCTTATGCTTGCGTCATAGAAACCGAACCCACCTTCCAAAGGACTTGAACACGAGGCATTTGGGGGGGAGGGGTTGGTCCACAACTGTGTTTTGCCCAGAGTGAGTTCGATTGGAGGACGGCCAGAAGATCGGCGAGACATCCATCAAGGATCATCTCGGCGAGGCAGGATGAAAGAGAGTTACAAAGAGGGACAATCAATTGAGCAGCGCCCAACCCCCAACCCCCCCTTGGGCCAAAAGTCAATGGGTGAGACGGGCGCTGGAGTGGCTTTGCTGATTCAATCCAGCGGATCCAGTCGCAAGGGATATATACCTAGACTCTCCAGGTGTGCATTTTTTCTGCCGCTTGCTGAACAAGCAATATGTTGTGTCGTTTGCTCCAAAAAGAGCCTTTTCCTTTCAAAAGTGCTGCTTCAAAATCTTGCCAGAACGTGGTCGGCAAATATCGCTTTTTGGTCGGGGAATGTCGCCTTTTCAGTGTCGCCTTCTCGTCTTCATCCTGGTTTCGCAAAATGCACTCAGGCACAAAATGTGCTGCTTGCACCAAAAGGAGCCTTTGGCCCAAACAGCACAGACAAATGCACTCTTAGGAGGTCCCAGGTATGTATATACATATATACATATAAATCTGCATTGCATTCTTTTGCCTGAAGGGGATTGGCGGTTTCACCGGAGTTGCCACTATGGCATAGCATGATGTGCTTGTTGGTTACCTAGCGGGGTTTCTGGATTCACTAGGCCATATGTAAAAATAAAGATCAAACAAAGTCTGGCAGTGTGTGTGAACTTAGTATTCAATAGACATCAACATGCGACAAGCTGTTTGGCACCACACCATGTGCGACTGTAGTTAGCTGATATTGGTTGTTTGTTGGGACGGTAAAATCGCAATGCAGAAAGGGATAGGTCAAATTCGCGTGGACAAGCGTGGACTCTGGACCATGCAAAAAGACTACTGTACCCGGTTGGGAAGTGCCTTAGAACAGGGCGTATCAGTTTGGGGTAGCGTTTTTTTTTTGTATAGTCAGATAAGATGGCCCCTGATGCAGGGCTTAAGCTGGCTTCGCTTGTGGACAGGGGAGTTTCAGGTTTTCAGGAGATCATGGTAAGCAGCGCTGACTTGCACTTGACATATTGACAATCAGATAGAAACTTGGTGAAGGGGTGTCCCTTGGTGTCCCTTAAGACCCTTGTGCCGACGGGCTCGTTGAAGCTGTCAGGCTCTGGTATGAACCAATGGGCTAAGGGGCATGGGGGGCTATGGGCTGATCCTGGGCGTTTTGGAGGGCTCCAGGGCCCAAAAAGAATGCCAACACCCCACCCCACCCACCCACCACCGCCCCCACCCCCACCCCACCCAACACCCCCACCCCCCCCTCCCTCCTGAAGTGTCCAGGATGGTCTTGCTTGATGCTAGGAGAAGCTGAAGAAGCTGATCAACTGGGTGCTGAGGCTCGGAAACATATGGCCGTGGGTCAAAACCAATAAGATCCCGTTGGTAGGTGCACCTCGGGATTTTAGGGGGTACGGGATTTTGACCCACAGCCATATGGCGAGTCGATAACACCTTTTCGCTTCAATGTCGACCCCATACTAATCAACCAACCAGGAAATTAGGGGGTGGTTTTCCTACTGGTTCATTCCCTACTGAGCCTATATTAATCATCCCCGGTTGATGAATTTGGGGGGTGGTTTTGGCTCTCCAAAAGTGGTCTGATTCCCTCATTTCACGCAGGGACACCCCCCGACTAATAAACAGGGGTCGAGTAATATGGAGTCAACATTATTCAAGTAAGTTCTTCAAAGAGTTTACCCCTTGTTTCCAAGACCTTCGGCAAGTGAGGCAGAACAGACATACTGTATCATGTTCAATTGGTTTACAGTTCCCACACAAGCAACTGTCACCCCCGAAGTTGGTGTTTGACCTTTTGGTCGACATGCCAGCACGTTCTCTCTTAGTGGTGGGGAAGCGCCACTGTTGACTTGTGGCCCGCATCTCATCCGATTCCCTCCTTTTGCCCAAGATCATTTTGAGTTGTCCCCGTTGGCTGGAAAAGGACATTGTGAGTGATTCCCCCTCCAAATAAATGGACATGGAGCCCAACAAGGGGCTCCTTTTCCAAAAATGCATGGCGTTGGATGTTTGGGTCTCCACGTCAATGTGCAGGGCTGCAATCTCACATCCACGAAGCGGCAACTCGCGACGAAGAAACCCGGTGCCAGGGCTCGGAGTTTAAGCCCCCCCCGCCCAAAAGGTAGGGCCCCCTAAGCAGTGTCATACCCCCTAAATGAGATTCCCCACACCACTCCTCAAATGCATCCCCTTTGGGACGACTAAAACATGGAGGTGTGTTTTGGGGTGGTATGTTTGGGGGGTGCTGGGGGCAGTTACAGTAAAATCACGTGATGCCGAATTGCTTTTGGACTCAGATCCAGGCGGGTAAGGGAAAACCATGTAGAAACCTTGTGCTAAACGTAACATCCTCATGTTTTTCCTTGTTGCCTCGTTGCTTGCCAAACAATAGTATACATAAATTTTAATAAATATAGAAATATATATGGAATATCAGGGTTTTCCCGGGGCCTAGATCCACTGGGGAGGGGGCTAGGGCAAGCTGTTTCCAAGCTGCTGCAGATACTTCGCGGACCTAGACATTCCGGTGAAGCGCGGCACCTTTGTGGAGTTCCGACAGGCGAACTCCGCGAAGTTTGCGGCTGGGTTTGCTGGGGGGTCCCTATATTGATCATAATTTATCAATGCTTTGGTGGTTTAAACAGGTTTGCTTGGGGGTCCCCATTTTTTCGTTGCGGGGTGGGTTTAAACCTCACCTAGCTAGTCCATTTTAAGTGAGTTCTCCTTGGAACGGGTAGCGTTTCAAGGGAAGTATAGGGAGCCGTGCTACTTTCCCCGCGGTTTAGATTTGTCTCGCATGGACGCCCCCAACAACCCCCAACAAAAAAGAAAGAAACATATTCCGTTGGGGGGGGCTGCCGCGCACCTTGTTTTAGAGGGATTCGGGGAGCTTTCATTTTGATTGCTCTTGGGTTGGATCTTTAGACTTTACTCTCTTTCCAACAATCATGGAAATGTGGACAGGGGGGTGCCCCAAAAGGAAAGTAGTCTTCCAAGACCCTCCTGTCAGCTTCCATGATTGTTGGAGGGAGGATAGCTTTTTGGGGAATCAAGGAGTTGCATTGAACCCACCAAAAGCGAAACCATTTTGGGGCGGCCCCAAGTTTAACACAACCGGCATGGCTATTTTGATGCTCTGCACCTCTTACAGGCTGCCTTGGCTTGGCCACAGGCACCTGAGATGCCGATTTGATACGCGCAGAGCCAGACCAACAATACAAGCCGTGCCCAATGGATCCATTTACCTGTAAAGGTTACCACCGGAATCTATGACAAGGGCTTACAAAACTGTATGTGGGAGCCATGCTATATTGTGGGAACTATGCTATATTGTGGGAGCCTCCTGTGTGCCAAGAGAACCTTGCCAGACCAAACGGAAATTAGCGAAGGGTTACACACTATAAGGGCTTGGCTGGGATCCACTCTGCAGAAGCACCTGGTGGATTCGGCAGCGTTTGCTTTAGAGCTCTGCCAACGAACCAGGGGTTCATGAGCCCAGGCGCTCCCAGCAAGATTCAGAAGGGCGTGTGTGTTTTTTGCTTTTCCCCTGTGAACTCAGGTGTTTGTGAAGTGACCGGCTTCAGAATGGCACCAAAGAGTCCAACAAATGTTGAACCCCGATGTGTCAAGAGGTTTGCATTGGCCTTTGCACCTTTGCTTGGCCACACAGCGCTGACTCCGGCGCACGAGGGTATGATGAACCTCTCCCCCATTGGCCGAAACTGCAGCCGGGAAGAGCGTGAGACACTGAGCTGAATGCATGGCGAGCGAGCGGTGACTGCGAGATGCCCGTGTGGGGGCGGGTATATAAAGGTCCACAAGATTCAAACTTGTTCGGAGAGCTAGCAGATAGACCCCAGGCACTTCCCACTCTGAAACTACATTCAAGAATGCGAAATCTAGAAGTCAGCAGTAAGTTTGGGGCAATATCCCATGTTTAAGGACAGCTTGAGTCCAGGTGCAGATTTCTTCTACCATCCTTCTGCCCTTTTGCTGAGCAAGAACTCATTTCCGCGTCAAATGAGGCAACGAGTTCGAGAAGTTCGACCTGGCCAATGGCATTAGGAAGGCACCGCAGCACGTTCCTCAGTTGGTTCTGGGCGGCAGATGTCAGCCCCAGAGTAAAGAAGGCGACATTTGCTATATTTCAGAAAACCTGGTTTTGAACAGGCTCTAGACTATGTATACACATCCCGTCGTGGTTGGTGTTTAGCCAGAAAGAGGTATGGTCGGTATGGTTTTAGCCCTTGTGAATCTGATCGGACCTGGTGTTCTTCGCTGCAAATTGGATGTGACCCTACCACGGCCCAAACTCAATTGCCTCCTTGTCGGGCTGGATCTGTCAGAGATAATTTTGAGCTTGTTCCCATTTATCTTAGACGTCTGAAACGGGGTGGGTTTGGTTTTCTTTGAGAACCATCCAGAAAAAGGGCTTGCCATTTTGGGACAAAGCCCCGATTTTGGTTGCCCGTGGGGAGGTTGTGGTTGCCCGGGGAGGAAGCGAACTGCAGCCCGTGTACTGTCCTTGTGTAAAGGGTTTGCGCCCATTCACTAATTACCTTTTTTTTTCTACGAGAGAAACCCACCTTCATTCGGGTGGCAACAGGGCTCCATATACTTCCCTTCCTGGATGGTATCAATGTGTGCTGGACCAATTTAGATGCATCTTCCCTTTCAAGAAGAGTAATGTTAAACCGAACATCAGAATTCAAGTGAAGCCCCCCCGGCATCACCGGCGGATAAATTCACGTTTCAAAAGGGCACACAAGGAATCATGTGCAACCAGCCACCTGGGTCTTCTCAAAAGGGACTTCAGGGTTGGTTTCCTTGTTTTAAGCCATCCAAAAAGGAAAGCCCCGAGTTTGAGAAGCAACCTCTTGGTTCTTTTTGCAGTGGTGGGTTGTTTGTGGGAAATGCGTGCTTGGGGGGGATGAGTATCACTCGCTGTCTGAAATTCTGACAAACCCCCTTGAAAGGCAAAGAAGCCAGTTCCAGATCTCACATGGTCCAAGCACGTGCGCAGACCATGGTCAAGAAGATGACCGAGGAGTTTGCAGACCTCGGCCTCACTTACTCCATAGGCTCCGAATATGTCGAGGGGACCGGAGGCCGAAGCATCCGGACAAACTGCTGAAATTAACGAGCCTGAACTGAAAGATTCCCATGCAATGTAATGGACCTGCATGCGGTGAAATCACTTGTTTTCCTGGTAAACTAATCTTCCCAGAAGCCTATGGACTAGGTCGAGCACCTTCAAGCATCACACCTTGCCTGCATACCTGGAGTCTCCATGACCGCATGTTTGCGGAGGTTTTGGAGACTCCAAACACTCTCAGGAGCAATGACGGCGCCAGAGGTCCACAATTCAGCCGACTGGGAGCGTGGGGAACGGACTTGAGTAATAGAGCATGAACAAGCAAATGCATGCTATGGGACGTCCATCAACACAAGATCATGTCATTGAAACCAGAGGCCCAGGTGTGAGAGGCTGCCGGTCACAGGAGTGCCTCCCCATGTTGATTATTGTTCTTGGGGCAAAGATCATGGGAAGCATCACACCCACCGTTTCCTGCCTAAGAGCCCTAGTGTCCGGCATCCCTATCTTTTGACAATGATTGGAGCACACCTCTCACCAAGTGCGAGTAAAACGCCAGTAGAAAATCACTTGGTATATGGATATTGCATCCTAAGTCGGATATCAGTTTTCGTCATCGCGACCCAAACGGCAACCAACTTTGCAGCACACCGGATTCGCGGTGTTCCGACGTTGGTTCAGTTTTAGTGATTTCTACAAAATGTAAGGTCCAGACTTCCGGGTGCTTGTGCAAGGTAGTGGGACCAGAGAGCGAAGCTAAACAAACGACGGACGAGGCCTTCTTGCAAGCTAGCAGCTTGTGTTTAGCGCAGGCGGCCAGATCTCCTTCGACGTTTTCCCGAGACTTTGGCGGCAATTTGGAGAAGGGTCAAGGGCATTGCCATGAGAAGGCTTGGCATCCCCACGTCATCCCCACAGCCTAATCAACATATAGGGAGGATGGTTTCCGTTGGTTAGCAAAAGGAACATAATAATAACATAATAATAACATAATACATGATCAAGAAGACGACTCATGGTTTCCAGGTAGGGGTGGGGGCGTTGCGCGTCAGGGGCAGAACCATGGTCGCATGCCGCCATGTCAAGGAAGGGAGCGAGTACGGAAACGGTGGGAGCTCCATCCGTCTCAAGATGATTTCCGCTACCCAAACGGGAAACATGTGGAGAACCCTCTTTCCAAAAATCATGGAAGTGAACAAGAGATCCGTTGGAGATGATGGACGCCTTCCAAACCCTCCCGTATTTCCATCATTGTTAGAAACAGTATTTAAAAAAAAAGGGAAAAAAAAAAACATGTTGGAAACGGGATAAACAACTACGATCATCGACCTGCGCGATTTGGCGCCACCGCACTGGGGCTTCCCCAAAACGGGAAAACAGTAGCCCTCCCGTCAGCCTCCAGGATTGTTGGAGGAAGGTGGTCTATAACCATAGGTGTCATGATTGGGTTGGTTTGGTTAGAAATAGATGGCACTAATTTAGATTAGTTTCATGCCATTTACCAGGGCCATCTATTGGACCAAAAGGACACCTATGTGTATAACCTCCCCCCCGCTTCCCAGGGAAACAGTGGTCGACACGCTTTCTCGAAGACACCCTTTCTCGAAAAATCACATTCGGGCTTTCAAAGTATGCTACTGGCAGCTTTCAAGTTTTTGCTTCGTGTACGGAAATGGAATGAAAGTTGAGTTGTAAAACACGTCGCCCAAAGAGTGTTGTTCCCCTCTCGCAGTGCCTCTTTCAGGCCCCCAAAGGCTGGGACAAAAGTTGGGCAGGGCGGGCACTCCAGCAGGGAGTCTGGGAGAAAATGACATGTGACATCAACATGGCCCAAACGTGACTATCCCCAACCCACCCACCCACCCACCCACCCACCCACCCACCCACCCACCCACCCACCCACCCACCCACCCACCCACCCACCCACCCACCCACCCACCCACCCCGCTCAGAAACAAGATAACTTTATTTGGGGGGGGCTATGAATCGGTGCCAGCCCACAACATAACTTTAATCGGGGTGGGGGGGTTATTAATCATAGGTCGACATTATTCCCTGCATTGACGTGCACACGTGTTGTCCGAAATGTGTCACTTTTTGTTATTTCAAAGTGACAAGTTTTCCTAATGACATGATGCGACATGTACACAGTGTGTATATATATATATATGTGGACTGAATGGATGGCCCCGCCCACCCTTTGTATTGACAAGCATCCCCGCGAATGGAATTTAGAGCCATCCCTCCAGTGGGTCTGCCTCGCATCAGAGCCATCCGAGCATTCGAATGCCAGGACTGGCTGGGACAAGACCTACTGCCTGCGGTACCTCCCGGAGGCCGAGTTCGATGAGATCCATTTCTTCGGCGACAAGACGCGGGGATGCCAAGTTCGAGACCGGTTTCCTGGGACGAAAAGACGAGCCTCGATAAGATGGCGGGGGTCCTTTTTCCGGTTGAAATGGTGGGCCCGGGGGTCCTTTTGTTTCCGGTTGAAATGGTGGCATTGCTTTCGTTTCCGGTTGAACTTCCAACCAAAAGGGGGCCGTCCGCCATGTAAGGAGAAACCACCTGGAGGTTTGATCGGCGAGCTCACCTAGTGGCTCTCCATGAATCGCCATATGCGTCAGGTTTTCTTGGGGGTAATGGTATTTCAGGTCTCGGAGTTATTGAACAGCTTGTGCACTTCATGGCCATTCCCTGCAAACATTGCCTTTTTTCAATCACCTGCAGCTTTCTCGTAGATTCGATGGTTTCTGGTTTCTGTTGAAGAAAATAAGCTTTTGGCCAGAATGGGGAAGTTACCTCGAGAGGCGACACAAGTGTTCGAACATGCGACCGTCATTCGCCCTCGCGCTGTTGGTTCCAGCAAAACGCTGGGGTGCTTTCTTGAGGGTACCCTTTCTGATGTCTGGCGTTTGAAAAGGACACACACAGAACATAGCTCATACTGGGAGGTTCCCTATTTTGAGACAAAATATTTTTGTCGCAATTGTACTTTGGCATGCGCACTCCAAACACATCTTGACATTGAGGGGACCAGCATGCACCTCCCTTACCCAACACTCAGGGCTGGCGCACCCATTTCTTTGGGGTTTTGGAGGTCGGAGCGGAGGTATGCGTGCCCTTTCTCTCAGGACGGAGCTCAGTTTTCGAGAAACTTTCGCACTTGGGCGGCTTCCTCACTTCTGAAGTGATCAATTGGTATATGTCAAAATCGCGGATTTGCACTCCCAAGCTGGCTGCTTTTTCCTGTCAGTTTCCCCCAAACAAAAACCAACCCACAAGGGGGTACCAAGCCTCAGCAAATCCCAGGCAGAAATGCTCTTGAGGCCTGGGAGCCCTGGCAAGCCATAGACTTTGTAGCCCAGCACGCCAGACCCTGAGGATCATTGTCCGCCCCTGTAATACTCACTTCCTGAGTTCCTGAGTACTTTAAACTTCTTGGGTTTGGACCATTTTAGCGGCAATTTACAAAGTTCGGACCTTTTTTGGGGGCCATCCACTCAGCCGGTGAGGCAAGGTGAAGCTTTGAGTCTTGGGCTTCTCAAAGCGAGTCTCTCGGAGGAGGACGCGTTCCTTTGGCCTCGGTTTCCCGGAGCCAAAAGGCGAGCCACTCCACCTGACGCAAGCCGGGGCCTACCTCGTTGACGGGCGGTCCCTCGGTGCCAACTTTCTTTTGCCGTTTCCTTTTTTGGGGGGGAGATTCGGTTCCCCTACTCAAAGAGACCAAAAAGGAAAAAGAAGTTGGTGCCCTGATTCTGACCTCTCCTACTGAAATGGCCATGGTTCAAACCCAATGGTATCCCATTTGGGGATAGGTGCGCTACTCACATTTTGGTCTATTTGAATGAGGATTGAATGGGATGTTCACTGGGGCTACGGGCTTTGGATTTTGGCCCATGGCCAAATGGCCAGATTTCTCGGGCCGCGCGCTCATCGGATTTTGTCGCTCCGGAGAGGTTCGAAGGCGGAAACGACTTTGAGATCTACTCGCACCCCAGGACGAAGGGGCACAGCGCCTCGACGCGGTATCTTTTTTTTTTTGGGGGGGGCAGGCCGTTTGGGGGTGGCTCGGTTTCCCTGTTAAAGGGAACATCCACCATTTTTTGGCCCCCATTGACAGAGAATGACATACAAAGGTGGGTGTGGCTCGCTGCCTTTTGGGGGTTCGGTTCCTTTCTGGGGTGTTTTTTTTAGACGTTGTGAAGGGGAGCCGAAAGGGAATCCACAATTTTTGGCCCCCCTTGACACAGAATGACATACACAAATTGCGTGCAACACGGAACCATCCCATTTCAACACCTCCAGTAGTGGCTGTTATATGGCTCAATAGTTACTCAGCTACTGACCTTTCGTCCGATAAGTTCACTGAGTTCACTCTGGGCGATCTGGTGCGCCGACTTTGCGTCCAGGAAACGCCGCTTGGACGTATATCCCTGATCAAAGAGTGACTCCTGAATTGCGAATTTTTCCTGCTCGATTTCTACCTGTGTCCTTTGAAACGAGATCCGCTCAAGGACACTGGCCAGTTCAGCTTCCTTTTCGTTTATCCGGGCCTTCAATGCCTGCTGTTCTTGCTCGATAGCCTTCTTTTGAGCTTCCAGAGCGGCCTGCTGCGCTTCGCTGAAATCGAAGTCGCCGGAAAACCTCGGGTCGCCGTTCTTCTCTTCCCGAGAGTAGTTCGTCAGGCGTTGTTCTTCTCGCGCAAGGAACTGGAGCCTGGTGCGGACTTTTTCCAGGTCGTTTGAGGTTGCGGCTTCCTGCAGCCGGACAAGGGGTGTTCCCTTTTCAACCAGTTGCCCTTCTTCAACAAGAACTTCTGCAACGATGCCGCCTTCAAGATGGCCGACGGTCTGAATCTTGCCGGCAGGGACAATTTCGCCCGAAGCCTTGGCAACCTCACGTACCTGCCCAACGATGGACCAGCCGAGAAAGGCGGCAGCTCCAAGAGACAGCACCTGCAGGATGCGCCTGTAGGCGAAGGGCGGCGGCCCGTCTTCCAGTTCCAGGGGCATGTCCAGGGAATAATCTTGCTTGGCGGATTTTCGGGAAAACATGACGCTCTACTATCACTCGGTACCTATGGTGAGAACTGTGCGCCCTTAAAGTAAACATCCACTGAATCAACTCGTTAGAAAGTCAAAGCGATGTGCAGGACACACAAGTCTCATGGAGGAGCAACTGAGGTGTCGCCGTCGTTGGTTCTGTCAATGGTGTTGAACATGAACAGGCCGATGTTTCATTTCTTCCTTGCCTCAAGGGGGGCGCCGGCATCAAGGCCTCCCGAAAACTGGGATGGGGGTAGACCTTCCTGGGACCATGTCCTTTGTCTGGATCCAAAACCTCATCGGAGGTGGTCATCCGGAAGGATGGGACAACCAAAGATGGAGACGTTCTTCTTTCTGCGGGTGTAAACATCGCGTGCATGTTTGAGCGCCATGGCGGCGTCCGGTGCATGAGGGGCCCCGACATGCCTGTGGTTCAGGCCGTACTGTCCCCGGATGAACGCTCCCCAAAGCGGCCATTCGCTTCCCATCGTCCAGACTTTCGATCGTCAGGCGGCGGAACTATCACACGACTCAGTTCTCCAGAGGCCGGACGACTTTGCGTAGTCCCAACCGAATGCCTCGTCAGATGCGCCCTGGGTGTTGAGCATCTCAAGTCTTGCCAGGGCCTCATTCAAATCCGGTTCGTGCCCGACGGACACCGGCCACATGACGAAGTGCATCTTATCCATGGCATCAAACCACTCCGCCTTGCGGGCATAAATGCGCTTGTGGATCGTCTGGAATACAAATCGCTCCAGTGAATCGATATCTCTCCATACCGACATGTTGGCAATGATGTGCGGATCATTCATCACGACCACGTCTGTCGCGGTGGCATCAAGCTCAAGACGCCAGATGAAGCCGTCACTGCGTTCAGCGGCGGCATTCACACGGTCGAGGTTGTTGACGAAATCAGCAATCCGCGGGTCGTCAATGTCGTGCTTGAGACGAGCAATATTCAACTCTGCCACGTGTTGATCTGCCATCTTGACCATTCCCACATTCCCTTCCCGACCTGACCCTGAAAGACGCTTGCGTGGATGATATGTGAACGTTATAAAGTTACGCGTTACAAAATTACATCCACCGGACACCTTCCCGAATGGCCTCTTTTATCATGATTTCAAATCCCGTTCGCAATTCAAAGCGCTTGCTTGCACAAACCGCAATCGCCGGATCCTTCGCGCTTGCGGCAACGACCATGTCTGCACATGCCGAAGCGCCTAATGTCGTGACGACCATCAAGCCGCTCCACTCGATTGCCTCGGCGGTCTTGGAAGGTGTCGGCAAGCCGCATATCATCATCGATGGCGCTGCCTCGCCGCACGGCTTCGCGCTCAAGCCGTCCCAGGCGTTCCTGCTGCAGGGAGCCGACGTCGTCTTCTGGATAGGACCGTCCCTCTCTGCTTCGCTTGCAAAGCCCATCAGCGCCATGGCTGCCGATGCAACTACCGTTGAACTGATGGATGTGGCCAATATGGATCATCTTCCCTATCGCGAAGGTGCCAATTTTGACTCTCATAATCATGGAGATCATGAAGATCATGCCTCGCATGAAGATCACGATGAGCACGAAAAACACGCTGATCACGAAGAGCATGATGGTCATGATGATCATGATGAACACGCGGATCACGAGGATCACGGCGACCATAGTGAGCATGCGGATCACAAGGACCATGACGAACACGAAGAGCATGCTGAAGAGCATGACGAACATGAGCATGAAGGTGCTGAAAAGGAACATGCGCATTCCGAACACGCCCATGATAGTGAGCACGAGCACGAAAAACATGCGGATGCAGGCCATGCTGACGAACACGGTCATGATCACGAAGGCGCAATGGACCCGCATATCTGGCTGAACCCGGACAATGGCATTGCCATTGCCGCTGTCATGGCAGAAACTCTTGCCAAGACCGACCCGGACAATGCCGAAATCTACAAGAAGAATGCAGCCGCATTTGCAGAACGTATTGAAACGCTGGAAACGAAAATCGCAGAGACGCTAAAGCCTGTCGAAGGCAAGAAATTTGTCGTTTTCCATGACGCCTACCATCATTTCGAACATCACTTCGATTTCGAAGCAAGCGGCGCGATAACAATTTCGCCGGAAACCGTCGCCAGTGCCAGCAGGGTTGCCGAAATACAGGATCAGATCAAGGATCTGTCCGTGACCTGTGTTTTCCAGGAGCCGCAATTCGATGCGAAACTGGTCGATGTCGTCCTGGAGGGAAGCGATGCCCGCAAGGGAACACTCGATCCTCTCGGTACGGAACTAGACAACGGGGCGGACCTTTATCCTGAACTTCTGTCCAGCCTGTCAACCTCCCTGAATTCCTGTCTTTCAGGCCAATCATGAGTAAATGAAAAAGCCGGGCGCGTTGCCCGGCGATTTCAGGTCTGGTCGTTCGATTTTTTCTCAGCTCGCGTTTCTGGCCTTTTCCCGCGCTGCCACGGTCTTTCCGATCGCTTTCAGCAAGTGGCGGTCGCGGTCGTAGATGTCAGAGTAGTAGGCGATCCCGCTGCCTTCCTGCTCCGGCCATGCG